TTATGTGACGTATCTGACAAGAATTATGTGAGTAACAATTGACGTTGATAGTCTTTTCCATCCGCTTTCTGAACGTATACAGGAACAATGTATAGCACCACTGGAAGTGCCACATTAAGCAGTCACAAAGTCTTCATAAGTAAAACGATGCGTGTTTCTTTCTAGCATGGTGACAAAACCATGTCGTAGTTAATACTGATTCATGATGTGTCTGTTATAGGGTTCACGAATAAGTTTCTGTAAACAGCATCCACAATCACTGACCAAATTATGAACAAAGTTATAATGTATATCGTCCAGTAATATCTAAATGGTGCTTACCAATTTTTTTGTTAATACCAAATGTCTAGGTGAAATACTAGAAGGGTTAGAAAATGAAACTTATAAATTATTTGTAACCTGCTAGTGAAGTCATAAATATACTGAAATCAGAGTTTTAAGGCAATATGAGCTGTGAAACCTTTAACATCTCATTTACATCATAAACTTGGTGCAAAGAAATGTCATAAGACTGCGAAGCGTTCACAGTTATATGGTGGGGGTTTGAAGTTCCTAGTCCTTGGTACGACACAACCCTAAAATCAAATAACAACTATTAATGAGTTAATTCTTAAATTCCCACTCCTTTACACACTGACTCGGCATAAGTCCAAAGTAATTCATGCAAAATACGTGACGAAAAGTGAACAAGCAATCGAAGCTAAATCACAAATTTATAGCACTCATATCTCCTTTGTGCCACATTAATTAGTCTCATTTTCCTCATAAGTCGGACGATGCCTGTATGTTGTGACCATAGTAACTACAGCAATTTGTAAATAACACTAATTTGTGATGTGTCTGTTCTAAAGATTACCAACCAATTTCTATTAACGGAATCCGAGATCTCTAATGAATAGCACTGTTTGCAAATAAGAGAATTATAGGTACATTCTGTTACCTGCTATTTGATTGACTTATTGAATGTGATACTGATAACAAAGTTAAATTTTTTGTCTCAAGACTGATTTGTTGTTTTTCAGAATAGTATGAAGCTTATGGAGTTTATGATTGTGGAGGATCGTGTGGAAAACCGGTTTACAAGTTTACGATAACTGTTTTATATTGCCTACTGCCATGTTCATTCATCTAATGAATTATTTAAATATAAATATAACAACCATACTCAGTGTTTTACGTTATGAATCCTGTAAGTACGTATACTTATAGTCTAAATAAAGCGAAAACAAATATTGATGCAGAATAATGTGACTGCATTATATTTCGTGGTTTCTCGCAAGCTGCATACAACTAAATATGTATTATAATTTAACATTGAAATAAGAAATAGTATGAAACAATTGACATAATAGAAAGCAAAGAATTGGAATGACCTAGATTATCAATAATAACTACATATATGTGCTTGAACAGGTCAAAGGTTATTTGGTGTTAGACTTAAGGAAACATAAATGATCATAGACGTAATCCGACAACGGAAAATATGTCAGGCGGTTGCCTAATCTGTAAGGTTTTACGTGGAAGTCACAATTAACAATGACATAACTCTAAGTTCTAACGACACTTCAAAACTAGTTCAGTAGTACAAGTTCTTGATTCTCACACACAATTATTCCTTAAAACGAATGGTATACCTCCCCATGAAAATATGAAGAAAATGAAAATAAAAATTGAGAAAAAGTTTATTGATTTGTCATGACTACTAAAGTAGAAAGATAAGTTTACAAGTTGTATATACAGTGAAGTCAAAACTAAAGCCACAAAGAACTTTTTATCGTGAACGTGCTGTCTAGTTGTTTATAATTCTTAAGTAGAAATTGTAGACTTTTCTATCCACCTGTTTCGCGAATTGTTCATCATATTTCCCAATAATTTGTTGTTTGCACATTCTTTGGAGCCGTTGAGTTTATATATATTTTTCACTCCGTCTCGGTAATGAAATCGTTGTGTTGCTTTGTAAGTTGTGCGTATTGTCTAACTTCCATCTACAACAGTGCTTAAGAATTTGATGAGCTATATAATTTATATTTCTTAAGTGATTTAGCTTACTTGTAAGAGTTCGTCTTTTAACATATGCCAGTAGCAGATGGCGGCAAGGATATCAACGCGTAACAAATATTCTATAATTGCACTCACAAGTGCTTAGATCCACTTCATAATGCCTTCCACAGTCAACAGTAAACAACCAGTCGCCATTTTCATATTCCACATGCATTACCTGCTTTCGAGAACAACCTGAAATATATTTCTATACACTTACCAGTGGAGAGTTTAGCTTTCATAGCTTTGACATCAGCAGCGGTAACCTGCTTACCAGTTCTCTCTTTAATACCTTCTATAACCTCATCTGCTGACTGACAGTGCAATATTGCTGGCTTCACGTTTTATTTTTCTTCGGATGACAACCTTCTACTCCATGGATCACAAACCATCAATGAACTACTACAAGGATGGTTGTGAGACATGTTGTAAGATTTTATGACTTATTCTTCACCTTCCAACCTTATACGAAACCTAGATTGGTAGTTTAAAAACTTAGACCTTAAATGTCGCAGATTAGTTAAAGTCCTCACGGTTTTTTATTCACTGTCAAACCTTCTGATTTATGTTTACAACCAAACGTGTAATGAAACACCACAATCAAGTATTTATATCTCATATCCTTCAACAATTTACTTTTTGCGTGAACATAGTGCGTATGGGTAATCTGAGGAAACAGAATTATTCTTCCATACTTTATGGAAATCCTTTAGCACACTATAAAATTCAATCCAGCTTCCAAATCGCTTGTTCGGCACAATACGTTGAAACGCCTCGCTTACGTCCACTGAAATTTCACTTGAGCATGAAGCACTACAGACAACACGCATTGATTATTAAAAAAAGTTATTCCTTGAAAAAAAATAACTGAAAGAAGTATAACAAATATTTAGGATTTACCGTTGAGTTGAAATTTCGTCTTAACTTCTTTGTTTAACAGCGACTCACAAAAACTATGCGTATCTATAACTTTTAACGTTACCTTATTTGAATGGGTTTTGTGGAGACATTTCTTGGAAATTTCATAGGTTGAAATCATGAGTCAATTGAAGCTAGACCACCATGGAAAACCTGGAAGCACTGGACGGCCGTTTCGCCCTAGTGTGGGTTTCCTCAGCAGCGCGCACCCACGCGGGATTCGAACCCAGGATCTACCGGTTTCGCGCGCGAGTACCTAACCACTAGACCACTGAGACGGCATCCAACGGTGTTAATGTCTAAGTTCAACCAATCCACGAAGTTGCGCCAGTTTTTAACCACTGGAGACAATGGTGTACGGTGGCGCAACTTCGTGGATTGGTTGAACTTAGACATTAACACCGTTAGATGCCGTCTCAGTGGTCTAGTGGTTAGGTACTCGCGCGCGAGACCGGTAGGTCCTGGGTTCGAATCCCGCGTGGGTGCGCGCTGCTGAGGGCGAGACGGCCGTCCAGTGCTACCAGGTTTTCCATGGTGGTTTAGTTATCTTATCTTTCTTACGTTGTTTTCTGGACCCTATCAACAAATTATATAAAGGTGTTGACGCTTACTACAGCAGTTGCGACCACAGATCAAGTTACAAATCAACAACAGAGCTAACGTGTACACTACAAAACAGAGAATGCTAAATTAATGCGGACAGATTTGAAGGAGCCTACCGTTTTTACCTTGCCGTTACTGCTTGAATTAAATGGAGTAAAATACCATTTAACAGCAAAGTTCTTAGACTGCTTGATGTGTTCTCTTCTTGACAAATTAACTTCACAAGCTTTTTACAAATTTTTCCGTTGTGAGTCCAAGTAATCAAAATATTATATATATTATTGACAAATATTTTTCCCTTATTTTTTAGAGACAAAATTTATTTGACATAATTGAGTGGACAAACTTGAATAATCAACACAGTGCTAAGCCGACTACTTAGTAAAATCTTTGGAATTCCAGAAAAACGCGAACCCTATGGCTGGTTTAAAGATTATCTAACACTCGACCATTGAAACGAAAATCAGCTATCAACTATTGACTATAGCTGGTTAAACATTAGGCCACTCTAGATTTACATGGCTTACTCCAGCCACAAATGGGATTTATGAAGATCAACTAGATAAGGGTCTAAAATAGATCCCTATGGCGATTACCTCATTTAGATCCTTCATAACTTAGCGCATACCTTTTAAATTTAGACACCCGGAGCACACTTTCATTTTGATTAACGACGCATTTGAAGTTCTTGATTTCATACCTGGATACGTTAAAGATAGTTATATGGCGAACCATAATAGGGTGATATTTCTAGAAACAGAACTCGAGACTTCTAAGTCACCTTGATACCTATAGGAGTCAAATGAACTGGGAGTTCAGTGTTTGCTACTTGGCAATAAAAACGAGCTAACTGATGCCTCTGATTTTGCAATTGGCAGACAACCAGTGACAATTAATAAAAATTGCAAGGATGTGAGCCGGAATACTTCACATTCAGTCGGGAACTCCTGTTAATTGTATTTAGCTTAGCGCCTCTTTCCACTGATAATAAGCTGCTAAAGTTCTTTCTTTATATTAGGTTCGATAAGTATTCTTAAAGTGGCGTGAATAGAACTAAACATTTATTTATTCATACGCAACTAATTTGCAAGGGTAACAAAAAGACCGTTTCGGATTTCATCACACATACATTATCAACTCAATGAATTTTAGAAGACGTTAATTTTCTGCACAATAGGTTGACTTACTATGTAATAAAACTAGCCATACCAAAGTATATGACAATCATATTTTCATAAAAATCTCTTAATTATGAGTATATAATGCTTTCAATGTAAACGATATTTCATACTCAGATGCTCGTTACTGCATAGAAATAACACTTAATAATGATTAGGATATACAAAACATGACAATCCACTAGTTTTCACTACTAGTGAAAGTCAGGAAGCTCACTACAGCTGCCCAAATATGATGCATTTGCAAGAAAAATTAAATTCACAGCATTGTTCATAATATTCACCAAAGACTATAAGAATATCAAAACTGAATGTTACCATCAACACGAAAAACCCTAATCAGATCAAACAAATTTTATGGGTTAGACAAAGCATTAAATAATCTAATGGATACTTCATTTTGAATTGAAAAAAAGCAAAAATATATGTATAACATATTGGTAACGTTGTAAATAATGGAAGATTTATCCACAGTACAATCAGTGATACAAAATAACCTAATTTATCAAAGAGAAGAGGAAATTGGTAAGATGGTGGAGTCTCGAACTGTTAAGCGGAAAATAATAATAAAAAGAATTAGCAAAGTAAACAGTTCAATTGAGAAAAAAAAGTAAATTCACATCAGTAAACGGATAATTAACCAGACAACAAGTGCGAACAACACAAGTTTTGAAAGACTATCATAGAAAAAAACGGGGATACTTGATGAAGATCAAAGTAACAAATTATCTTTTCAACACACAAACTACAGATCCTGTTGAATATGAAAGATACATAGTTCATAGAAAAACGATATATACTGGAATGTACAGAACTTATTCAGTATATTTAAGATATTGTCATGTAAAATTAATCAAAAAATAATGAAAAGTAATCATTCCTTCTGTTCATTTGATAGACTTGAAAAGATATATTATCAATCTGTACACAGTAACACTGTTTTTTTACATTGATTGAGCGCAAAAATGTAAGGAAAAAAGGCAAGTTTTGTTGTTCATTTTTAAAACTAAACCATCCTTAGTTGAAATAATGAAGAGCCATGGTGATGGTTATCCGAATGGTCAGTAGACGTTTCATCATTATTCACTGTACTATTAGTAGTTCTATACGGAACATGACCATTATTTGTAGATGTGGAATGAACAAATTGAAAACATGGTTTCTCAGTAAATGACTTTGTTATGGAGAGATCTTCATCTTCGTTTTTGTAACAAACAATCTGATTATTATTGTTATTATTAATATTTACATTAACCAAATGTGCATTTTGATCATTCTGATTTATATCTTCTATTGTTCTTTCTTCCTCATCATCATCATTACTTAAATCATCGAATTCACAGTCATACATTAAACTTGGTCGAATCCAGTGAGGTGGTAGAAAGGTTTCAATAAATGGTAATCCAGATACAATACGAGCTAATCGATTAATCCATTTAGGTAAAACACCGTGACATAACAGCTAGGAATTTGTAAATCAACAGAATAATAAAAGTAAATAAAGTGATAACTTTGAATATAATTCAAGCACTAAAAATGGTAACTGCTAATTGAAGTTCTTCCAGAAAGAAAATTTACAAAATGCATAACAAGCACACAAATTAATTCAGGACAATCATCAAAGAGTGACGAATAAGTTGTATTGCAACAAGACAAACAAATGAAAACTTCTTACAATCAATTTACAGCAACTAAGAAGTTATCTTTAGTAAAAATCAAATTAAGAAAGAAAATGAAATCCAAATAGTTGATGAACTTCTAAGTTATGGTATAGAAATGAAACTGAATAATGATGCTAAGGGGGAGGGTTAAAGGATTTTCAACAAAAAGTATTCCAACTAACACATCAGATAATAACATTTAAGAATCTTCTTTTCCTAAAAACTTTATCTAACAAGTGAACTGTATAAATCCGGGACATCATTTCACATATTTGATCGTCTTATGGAATTTACCCTAAGGTTCAACAATAAATAGATAAACACCCCAAGAAATAACTATACACATTATGGATGAGATGTAATGTTACCGACAGAGAAGTATGGTATTAGCCAAGTTTGAGTACTTAGTAATAATAACTAGTGAAAAGAGATAGAGGAAACCAAAAGAAAAGATTGAGTTTAAAGGGTAACACTAATGTTCACTTGGAATTATTTTTGTTGGAACACGGTTAATACGGAACTAAATTAGCATCCTGTCATCTTAAAGAAAATGTAAAAACTTTAAAGCTTATACTTCAATGTTAAAACTTCTCTACTTTCTGTTGATCTATTTGTTCTACACAAAGTTCATTCAAAAAATTACAATGTGACGCTTTTATGTAACACAAATTAAAACTGGTTCCAATAAAAATACTCATGTATTGTTGTTCCATATCTAACTGTCTATTATTCAACATCATATTCATTTAATTTCATGCATATTTCTATGTTCGTTACTTTGCAGTGTCATATTATGTCAGATAATGAGGCGTATCATCACATCAACACACACTAAAATAAGGCATTACTTTCATGTAAAAATACATAGTCAACGGAATTTCTTTATTCTATTTCTAAATACAATAAACAAGACAAAATAGATTAAACCTAATTGAATAGTTGATCATAAAATGCGTTTATAGTCATGAAGATGAATTTATTGGATTAAAACATTATCGATTCTCAAATAAAGATTTAGGCGAACATAAATAACTGGTGAATATTGATTCATCACATTTATAAGCTGCCAAATGTTGAAAATGAGTAAACAATAAGAAAGAATATAAAAAAATAATCGAGTATGTAAAGCTACTACAGCGATAATTATGTAGAAAGTCATATTTTTGACAATATTCCAATCTATTTCGATTATTATTAATAATATAATTTAAGTAAGGTTAACAACAAAAGTTTTTTTGAAATTAATACACTTATGGGTTAGTAAAACCTTATCTCGTTAAAACTAACCATAACAAACACCTGAATAAAGATTTATATCTTAGAAACACATAATTTAAACCTTAATACATTCCTCCTATTCCCCAGATTAAAGTTTAGAGAAACCTTTGGAGATTTTCAGGTTATTACTTAGTGTCTTATTGATTCATTAGATTGATTGTACTTTACAATACTAAGGTTGCACTTAGAAGTATGTTATATTGAAAAGATAATAAATATAGACGTATTATCCTCAATGGGTGAGGAGTGAAAAAAATTTATATATATATATATATATATATATATTAAATTCGATAATACTTAACAATACACGAAGAGACAAAGATTTTTTTCAAAGACATTCAGATAATTGATTATCATTATTACTATAAACCATCAAATGAAAAATAAAACTTCAGAAAAAAACAGAACAACATTAGTTGTTACAATTCACAGTATTAGATATTTAAAACACACTTTTAATTATAGAAGCTGGATAGTATAAACCCAAATTCTATCAAATTCAAAATTAAACATAATTTGCAGGGGATTCAGTGAAAATAATGTTTGCCAGAATACGATATGTATCTACTAATAAATACATATGTAAAACTGGAACCTAGTCAAGTTCTATTTGATGATATCATTTCGCATATCTAAAAACAGAAAATCGGGAGGAAACGATAAATAAACAGAATATAAGAATGACAGAAAAGAATAGAAAATACAGGATTAACAATTATGAATGTAATAAGATGTTCAAAGTTTGGTGTAACGCGCAAACATAAATAATTTATAACAATAAAAACAACTATTTAGTGAAAAAGTCCCACCATCAAATAATGCGTGTATAGTACTCAAGTTAGGGAATGTAACGACCGATTCTCGGTCTATCTATTTCTCCTACAACAATAATTAAGTGATTCGCAGATATTTCTCAATTAAAATATAATTTAATCTTAGATCATTTATTTACCCAATGTTTGATTAGAATGAAGGACAACTGATGTTTGGAAAGCAGAAAACAAAACATGCAGCAAAAATGACAAATATGGACACTAGATCCAAAAAAAGTTATTTTAATTAATTTTCAGAATCTAAAAAAATCTACATTTTGACATCATTTGAAATAAATGAGATGAACTAGATGATGAATTTATGTAACACAAAAACTATCCTTTTGTAAGACTAAACGAATTACGATTAAATAAATTTCAATACTATGACTTACTTAATATTTTAGGCCACTTTATCATATGAGATACATGTGATAGGTCTTAAATTAAACAAGTGAATTATTTCCTTAGAAATTAAGCAGTGGAAGAGAAAAGTAATATATATATATATATATATATATATATATATATATATATATATATATAGTTTGATTGAACATCTGATTATTGAGGTAAAAAAATCCTAAACCATTTAAGTTGTTAGTGTCAAAAGAGAAAAAATCAATTAAATATGAATTGTGCTTTTACAACAAACTAATTTTATTAATTAATAATTCATTTAAAATTATAAAGAAAAGCGGGAGTTTTTTTAAAAATAAGAATTAAATTTTAGCAGATTAGTTTTTATTTGCTTGTTATTAAAACTGAAATTTACTTCAATTTCAGTAATCCATGAATGAACTCAGATGAATATTAGTTGATTCTGACGTAGAATCATCCAGGTACAGTGAAGAAAACCAGAGAATCTTTAACACATTTCTGATGTACTACAGAGATAAACCATTAGAATTGCAAGAAGTTCAGAGACATTTGAAACAGTGAAAATTCATGTTAGCGTATTTATCATACAAAAAAAGCACTAAGAATACTTTCTGATCGTATAAAACATTGTTAAATATAATTCCATCCAAAAGTGTTTATGAAATCCATAACCAAATACAAAATCAACTGTGTGTGGCCTAAAAAGCTTCTCTAATATATACTATGCAAGTTGAAGGACATAATCACTAAAGGAGATAAGGCAGATAACATTTATAAAATGTATCATAGTATCTACAAGAAGTACAAAGAACACATAGGCTGGTCTCCTTATCCTTTTGAACATTAGTCAATAGTCAAAGGTCACGGCATGTCATAATTAATAATAATACAAGTGTAGATGATTTTGATTGGAAAGATCTTGGGATCTAAGACAAATAAATCTTTACGAAGCTTGATAATCATTTTAAACTTTATTTATTACTAAAAGAGAACAATGAAAATTCACAAGGTCAGAGGTCAAGTCGACGAGAAAATTTGTCAAAACGAATGTTCAAACACTGACAACGACCAAGTTCCGTGTGAGTAGGAAAAAGTATTAGATACTTAAGGAGAAATTCTCACAATTTATTTGTTTTCGAAATTTACGATGATAGTGTGCACTAAAAGGTAGTTGAAATCGGAAAATTAACCGACCAATTAAGGGAATGGAAATACTAACTTTTCGATAATTGAACGTAATGACCTTAGTTATACAATCCAGAGGCAATTTTGTTCAATCAGTAGACATGATAAATATCATAAATAAACATAAAAAAACTTGAAATTTACTTTAGGCAACTAATGGTTACTGAATTTTATACTAAGATATGTTTTGTTAGTTGCCAAAAAAGTAAGTGCAAACTGATCTCTACCCAAATCATTTCAAACAGTTTGATACAATAGCGTGTTGGTTTTCGTTCAGTTTAATCAACCTAATATAATTAGCTGAGACACTCAACTTAGTTACTTCAACAGCTTACTTACAAATCAGTCAACTGTTCTGCTCTATGGTTGAAATACATTTATTTATGAACCAAAAAATGTGACGAGATTTGAGAAATTGGATATACCTTATTAGTATAATGGAATCAAGTGTTTAACGACTAAACTGAAAGTTAGATCTCATTGGAAATTGACAAACACAAGATCATGACAACAACTTAGAGCCTACTTTAGTATAATCCCGAGGTAGCACAACCTCCGCCTACTTTGATAAGTGATGTTACCCTATGTAGAATTAGGTTGACAGAAAGTTAGCAGGGTCAAACCAAAATATGGCATCAGTTCATGAAGTCAGTAACTGGTGGTTCGAGCCATATTAATAGATGAATATAACCTAGTTGGAATATGCCCTAAAACTGATATTAGTGGTTGGAGAAATTGGGTGATATGGTTCAGGATTGTTCACGATGAAGTAAATGCATTCATTGTTTATCTTACTTTAGACTTTGAGCTCCAGTATTCCTATATACATACTTTTACATTCTGTCTTTACGAGCCATATTATCAATTTTCGATCTTTCTCATTATCATCACAAATGCTCTATTTCGATTAATTCGCTGATCATTATGTTAATCCGGTCTCATCGTGTTAATGTGGTATGGTCCACGAACATTTGGGCTGGGTTCTACGTTGTTTATCACTTTTTCAAAATACTAGTTACTTTCACGTAAATAATTGATAACAGACAAAAATGTTTTATGGACAAATACTATATTTGGTATGTGACTAACAGTGGAATCCCCGACTGGTGTTTCGCTTTATTTGAGACTTGTCAGTTCTGAAT